AAAATAAAAATTCAGGAAGAAAATTGGACCAGAACATAGACTGAAAAACTCAGTGTTTTCTATTTCTCATCAGAAAAGTGTTTAAAATTCTAGAGTTATTGTTATTTCTTTCCCTGTAATAGGAGAGGCCTAAATAAATTGAATACAACATTCTTTCTTGGCATGGCTGTGCACATCTATAATCCCAGCATTTGGGAAGCTGAGGCAGGAGGATACCTGTGATGAGTTCAAGGCCAGCCTGGGCTACATAGTGAGTTCAAGACCAACCTAAACTACATAGGAAGACCGCCTTCTCAAAAGAACAAACCAAACAGAACAAAACAATGATGATGAGATGATGATGATGATGATGAATTGAATGTAATATTCTTAAAGAATAAGCCAGCCAGGCATAGTAGTGCTAAATGTAATCCCATCACTCCAGGAGGCCAAAGTAGGAGGATCACAAGTTGAAGCCCAGCCTAGATAACCTAGCAATTTAGTGAGATCTGACTCAAAAAAAATTTTTAAAAGGCCTGAGATATATCTTAGGGCAAACGCTTTGGTTTCAATCCCCAGTACCACAAAAATAAGTAAGTTTTAAAAGGACTATATCTGATTTCAAAGTATGTGATATGATTAAGTTATTTCTCTGGAGGCAAATTGTCCAAATAAACTAAATAACATGCCTATCAGTGCCTGGCATGTAATAGAAACTCAATAAATGGTGCTTCTTTTATTATGCATAGGCATAGAATACTGTAGGCTAAACTTCTCTTATTATGCACAAAGGCATTAATAGAGTAGGTTAAACTTTTTTAAAGCAAACAGAATGCTATAGAATTGCATTTGTGGAAGGGGAGGTATACAGCCCACTGCCTTAAAATGAGCAATATCATATGACCAAGTATAAGTTGTCAAGAAACCAAACGACTTTTACCTGCTTATGGAGGATGTCTCAGTTCATTAGCTGTTTTATGTTTGAATGAAATGAGATTGATGATTTGTCTTAAAGCTAAAGAGAATACGGAGGTTCCTAAAAAGCAAAATGGGCTGCTCAAGCCTTCCCCTGCCTTCTTGCAAACTAACCTCTCTGGAGTGACTCTGCCTAGCTTGTGCTGGGTCTCTCACTTGCTAGTTTGTTCTTTCTCTCAAACATTGGCTGAGATGCTTCTATTCTGTTCCTTCAAGTCATCCAATTCTTGGTCCAAGCATACATGCATGGTTTTAGTTCTTTAATAATGTTCCCATTGTAAGACCAAGTTTATAGGGCATGCCAAGTATTAAAATGTAACATGGAGGCAGCAGTGGACCTAGATATTACAAAGGGTTATCAGCTGTAGAAAGATGGGGAAATTATTTTTCTGTAAATAAATAATTTGAGGGACAACCAAATTTTGGCATTAAAGCACAGCAGGAATATTAGGTAGAGTTAAAAGATTAGGATAACTACAGAATATTCAATTAATGATCAGTTCCTATCTTTCTTTGCTTTTTTAAGACAAATTTATATGTAAATTAAAAATTTACTTTCAGGAACCTTAGTCTAGTTGTGTCTTAATAGGAGAATTTTGATGAGTCATAAATCCTCTAGAATTTTAGAACTCATTTATTCTTTCATTCAGTCTTCAAAAGTATATTAAGAATGTCATAGCTCATTTGCGAGTCACTAAGTGCAAGTACAATCTTGCTCTTAGAGCCTAAAATTTAGAGGAGACCTAAGAGATAGGACAGTTATTGTTATAAGTAATAAATACTCTGGTAGAGGTCCCTGAAACCATTCCCTCTTGAGATCAAGTATAAACGTGCCATCAGATAAT